AACGCTCATAGCAACGGGTAGTTAAGGATAGAAATTTAAAAAAATTTAAGAAACAAAGAAAAAATCTTACAGCAACTAAAAAAAGGTTCGATGATAAAATGATGAAGAGGAACAGTATATAAAAAATTTTAACCTGTTTTTATAAGTTTGTATATTCAATATTTTAAATTTTATATGCATTTTTCTCTGTTTTATACTTCTAATTTTCTGTCGAAGATTGCATTGTAATTGTCCAATTGACTTCAAATTTTCTATAGAGATTCATCGCAATAAGCTTTATGTCTTGAGATAAAAAAAAATTAGAAATACAAATTAAAAAAAAAACAAATGTTTGGTCCATTATGTCAGAAATTCGATTTTTAATTAGTACATAATTAGGCGCATTGAAAAATCTTGATATGCGATAAAATAAAGAGGTCTTCAGTAAAAAATTTTATATCAGAACGCTTATCTGTATAAAAAGAACAAAACGGAAAAAATTAGAAATTAATTATCCCAGTGAAAAAGCGCACATGAGATACGCGTGGGTTTATTTCATATGTCACCAATGTGTGGATTATTATTTTTTCCAATATGGGTTCAATATGGTAAATCCTAAATAGGTTCCATATGGTAATTCCCATATGGGATACGCGTGGGTAATTCCCATATGGGATACGCGTGGGTTTTTTCCGTATGTAACCCATGTGGGGATCATTATTTTGTCCAATATGGGTTTCAATGGTAAATCCCACATGTGTTCCATATGGTAGTTCCATATGGCAGGATAACTTGACCTGATGGTCAGCGTCATACGCTGATGGTCTGGGTTATATATGGTAAAATATGGTCTGGGTTATATATGGTAAATCCCACACGGGTTATAGGTTGAAAATACCACATTTTTTATAGATCTTAAATGCCACATATTCTAATTCAAATGCTATAAAAGTAGTGAATACCATATAAATGAAACATCGAAATTAACCATGGAAACTTTCAGAAAGACTTAACTTTATGTGGTATTAGCTACTTTATGCTATTTAGGATCAAATATATGTGATAATCTCCACAAATAATGTGATATTTACCATAAACTATTATAACAAAATTCTACAAAATTAAAAAACTGTGCTCAATTAGGAAAAATCGTTAAACAAAAAAATAAAACAAAACATGTAAGAACCTACTTAACAATAATGTACACATTAAGTGCAATAGACATTTGATGCAATAGTATCTTTACTTTTTCTTCACAAATATTATAATATTTTGAAACCAATCAACAAACACCTAACTCTCCATAAGCAAATTTTTTCTTTAATCATTGTCCTCTTATCCTACCTTATTTTTCACATCATAATTTATTGTGGTATAAATTATATAACACATCTAAACAAAATTATTATAATTGTGATTTTCGTAGATTAAATAAAGGAATTATAAATCCCTAGAGTATCCCTATAGTAAAAAGCCTATATTAAAAAAACAACTTGAGGTCTGTTATATTCTTAAGAGACTGTCACCGTAAAATATTGAGTTGAGTTTCACATCAAACGTCATTAAACAATCAAAAAACAATGATATATTTAAACATTTTATTTTTAAACAAGTCTTATTTTTTTGTATTTACTAATTTTTAAATAATTGAAAAAAAATTCGGTCAGAATATCTTCCAAAATGTTTCACTTTCATTTATAGACTTTAATGCCGTTGCTTCACAATTCTACAAATTAGCATCGCGATGTCCTCTCCCAAACCACTTAATTACATAATCCTTTGGATTGAAATGCGTAATTAGTGGATCTACTAATGAAATCAACATTAAACTCGATACATTTTTTATTAATAAAGTGTTTCGCAAGGAAGATAAAATTATATTCATAGTAGAAAAAGAACGCTCCCATACAGCTGTTGAAACAATCAAGGTATTTATATCAGTTCTCAAAGGTTGAAGATCATTAGGGGTTTTATAACAGTCACCAGTGGAAATGTATTCACGAAACCCGTGGACTGCCGTAATTTCACAAATATTTAAAGTTTTTGCTAATTTTCTAATATCTTTATCTCCAAAGCATGGATCTTGGTCTGCAAACCATTATGCGTTATCAAAAATATGTAAATTTTTTATTAAATTATCGTATTTTTCTTTGTTTAGATCATTTTCTTTGTCTTGTAAAGATTTATGCGCAGCTCTAGTTGTAAACATTCTAGAATCAAGAATTTTACTTAGTTTACTAAAAAATTCATTTTGATTAATTTTAGAAACTTTTCCGATCTGTAGTTTGACGCCTTTAAATTCAAACTTTTCTGCTGCAAGCTGCGTTTGCGAATAATATTCATCTGAATTATTTCTCATTGATTGAAATATATGGTATTTTAAGGTCATAAGTCAATGTGCATTAGATAAAGAAGTTTGCCTATCTTGTAATTTTTTAGAAAGATGTTCTAGTTCTATTAAAGCATCTAGCATTAGTCCCATGTTGAGTATGAAATTGATATCACAAAGTTTATTTTCAAGACCTGCATATTGGGCTCTATCTCCTCCATTACGCCTTAAATCCAATGAAGATTCATGAAAGTGTTGATATAATGCTGCATAATTATTTCAAACAGCCATCACAGATCGAGCACTAGACGACACCCATCTAGTGCCTAAAATTCGACCAATGGAATATAGTTTTACACTTAAAGCCATAGCAACAATTTCCAGTTCTTTTTTGTTTTTAGGAGATGCACTGTAAATGGTATCAAAAAAGCTTTTCATGAGAAAAATTGGCACAACATCATTTACTGCTAACTTTAATAGGTGATTGCTACAATGCCATAAAATCAAATTAGGAAACTGATTCAAAAGTAACTGGGCCACGCCTGCCTTTTTTCCAAGCATATTAGAAGCATCATCAAATACAAAAGACACCTAATTACGTAATAAAAAATTGTTTTCAAAGCCAAAATTGTGTAAAGCACATATAAAAGAGTTTGCAATATACGAGGCTTCTGTATTTGTTAATTCGATAAGATCAAAAAAAATACTATTGACAATATTTATTTCTGGAATGTTCACTCTCAAGCAGATTGACAGAGCAGACTTTTTGCTCATCATGGTAGATTTGTCTATCATAAACACTACTTTATTATCGTTATGAAGAATATATTTTACAAGCTTAGTACGCATTTCATTTGAAATGTGATAAACAATATCAGCGCATGCGTGATCAGATTGTAAAATACATCCCATGTCTGAACCATTTTCTACCTGTAATAATATTAGTTCTTTCAAATCAGAAAATGGACGATTCATTTTTGCAATGTGATAAACAGTGCGAAATATGCGGTAGGTAGTTTCGTGCCGATTGATCTGCATTTTTGAACTAAACATCTCTATGGTGTTTTTTTTGGACTGAGAAATAATTTTACAAGCTTTTTTGTGTGCAACTGATAGTTTATGGCATGAAAGCTTTTTCCTCATTGATTGTTCTTTTTTTTCATTTGTTTCGCCATACTCCTTAAAGTTGCCAAGCGTCCACTCGCTAGCCAATTTTATTCCTTGAGATTTTTCGGCACCTATATATATATATGTATATATATATATATATATATATATATATATATATATATATATATATATATATATATATATATATATATATATATATATATATATATATATATATATATATATATATATATATGTATATATATATATGTATATATATATATATATATATATATATATATATATATATATATATATATATATATATATATATATATATGTATATATATATATATGTATATATAT